CTGATGACCTCACTCTGCCATGGTCCTGGTCCTTAGCCTTAAAGGTCCAGAAACCAGACTTTTTTGTTCTCAAACAATTGATGCTTTAGTGGAGGCCGAACCCAACTATTAAGTTGCTGTGTGGCCCAGATGCTAATCATTTGTTTGCAGCTGGGATCAGGTTCTCTGACGGGATTTGAGGGAACCCCAATAAATACATATACTTATTCCCCTGTCAAGTTCAGAATCAATTGGCAAGTGCAGGAGAAAGACAGATGAGGATCAATCTGTCACCTTTTGTTACCAATGAACCAGCTGCAGAGAGACCTGGACACACTCTGCAGCTAAGGGAGGGGTGGGGACGGGGGAGAGAAGGGCATGGGCAGCTCCTGCTCTCCGACTCACCAGGCAGATAAGTCCTGCCTCCCCTTCGAGTGAATGCCCGAGTGAATGCCCGGCTGCGTGAGGGAGAAGAATTCCTCTGTGGCCCTGGGACCTGGGAACTTTTAGAAATGCAAAGCATAGGCCGAACTCCCAGCAAAGTGGGTTCAAACTCTAGGGGTGGGGCCCAACGATCTGCATTTTAATAAGCTCGGAGGCGATTCTAATGTTGGGTCAAAGTTGAGAAGCACTAGTCTAGTGGAAGCTGTTCCACGTGGAAATATGAAACCTAGGAAGACATGTTTCCCTGGAATATTCTGCCTCCCATGGTCACCGTTCGCATTCCAAGGAAAACAAATCACAGGCAGAGAAGTTTTATAGTTGCCACAGTTGATTATCAGCTTACATCTGCTCCAAGGATTACCAGGTAGAGTCTCCTGATTATCTCCTTTCCAAAGAGGGAAAATGTCATGGATTTGGTATTTGTTAGCCTTGCCTCTTTCTCTTGTGGACCTAGGAGGGGGTGACATCCTATTGTTGGCCTGTGATAGTCTCTGAAGACTCTAGAATGACCAATAACTAGAAATCAAGATGGATCCTCCTGTTAAAACCCCTCTGGGGCTCCCCCACTGCACTTAGATTTCAAAATAAAACCCTTGACAAGGCCTGCCCCCTTCAGTCTCATCTCAGCAGCACACTGACACCTCCAGTCACTCAGGCCTCCCTCCTGTCCTTTCAGTATGCCAAGCTCACTCCTGCCCCAGGACCTTTGCACTTGCTGTCTGCGGTTTGAAGAACTCATCCCTCAGACCCTGGCATGCCTGGCTCCTCTTTGTCCTTTAAATCCAACCCCAAATGTCATCTTCTCAGATCACCCATTTAAGGTGCCCTCAACCCTACTTGTCATCCCTTGTTTATCTCATTACCCTAGGTTTTTGGGGGGTTTTCAGAGCATTTTACACTATCAAAAAAATGATATGGTATGTTTATTTGTTGACTTATTTGTCTACCCCTCATTGGAATGTAAGAGATCAGGGATCTTGCAGTCTCCAAAGCACCAGAACAGCTCCTGGTATACCGCAGACCTCATATTTACATAAATATTTGTTGAATAAATGAATAAATGAATAGATGAAGGACTTCATGAACACAGGAAAGGGCTCTGGGTGAGAGGGATCAGAGAGGTGTGATTCAGTCATGAACAAGAGGGTGATGGGCCCAAAGACCCTGCCTCCCTCTCCCCAAGGGCGGGGGCACCCGAGCTCAGCTGAGTGCCTGGAAGGCTGGCACCACACCACATTTTCTGCCTGCTTTTCCTCTTGCCCTGTTATCCTAAGCCTGGACTCCCCCTTCTTCTCTGCCTCCTCCCCTCCCTCCTCCACTGTCATTATATTCCAGTCATTAGAAGCCAGCAGATTCACACCCTCCTGTCGCCTTTTTCATAAAGGAATGTTAATGGAGTTAGTTTTCAGCAGGGGTGCTGCAAACTGTTGTCAAAACTCTGATTTGGCCACCCACATTCACATAATTAATCACACAGGAAACCAAAAACGGGTGGCCTGAGGGCTGGGGCCCAGCTCCGTGGGGGCCCTCTTCCCAGAGCAGAGTGTGGCGTAAACACACAGCCACTGCCCACGGAGTCCACACTCGGGTTGGAAACAAGACCACCCAACTAGAACCACTCCTCAATAGTTCAGTTAGGGGGCTTCCTCCACCTGCCAGAGGTTGGCAACAAAGGAAAGACAATTAAACAAGTAGGGTAGAGGCTGGAGGGAGAAATACAGTTAAAGACCATCTCTTCTAGAATTATCAGGGAGCCGGCATTTAGTGAGGGTGGTATTAGTTCTCTATTGCTGTGTAACAAATGACCACAAGCTTACTGGCTTCAAACAACACACATTCATCATCTTACCGTTTCTGTGGGTCAGGACTCTAGTAACAGCTTAGCTGGGTCTGTTGCTTGAGCTCTCAGAAGGCTGCAGTCAAGGTGTCAGCCTGGGCTGAGTTCTCATCTCAGGGCTCAACTGGGGAAAGACCCACTTCCCCGCTCGTGTGGTTCCTACAGCACTCACTTCCTTGTGGTGTAGGCCTGACACCTTCCGTTTGTTACTGGCTATTGGCCTGAGGCCACCTTCAGCTCCTAGAGATTTCCCAGCTCCGTGCCATATGGGCTTCCCCAGCTTGGCTGCTTTGTCAAACCAGCAAGGAGAATCTCGAGAGCAAATCAACCAGCAAGATGGAGGTTTATGTATCATTACGCAATCACAGAATTCACATCCCATCCCTCGTGCCTTATTCTATGCGTTAGAAGCAAGTCACAGATTCTGCCCATATTTAATGGGAAGGGATCGTATGGTGGGGGTGGGAGGGGTAAACCATGGGACAGCCACCCTAGAAGGGGTCCACCAGTCCCTATTGTGTGTCAAGGACTGTGCCCAATACTTCTGCATGTGTTACATCATTTAATCACTGAACAATCTGTAAGTCAGGCATCACCCCCACTGCACAGGTGACAAACCTGAGGCACGGAGGAATAAGAACTTGCCCAAGGCCCTGTGACTGTTAAGACGGGAACCACTAGTATCATGACACCAAGTTAACCTGTGCACGCTTAGGAACTAGAGGATCAGCATCTTTACAGTGAGGAGCAAGGGTCCGAGGCAGGCAGGAAAAGGGGTAGCAAGAGCTCCCCCTAAGATGTGAGACCAGGAAGCAAGGATGGGGATGGGTTACGTGTTGAGAAAGAAGAAAACAGAACACTTATGTCTGATGATCTGTTTTCTCAGCGAAGCAGGAAATGAGGGTGTCTCCTGAGAGGGTGGGGGTTGGGCTGGAGGGGAAGCAGAGCCAAGTTGGAACATCAGCTGTGGGGAACAGGGAATGGGGAACGGGAATCTTGACAGCGTGAGTATAAGGTTGCCAACCAAGCAGGATAAAGCTGCTTCCTCCGTGAGGACTTCAGAGGTCGCCTCTGTGGGTGGTACTTACCCCTGTCCCCAGTACTCTATGGAATCTTCACTTTCCTCATCCTGCCTAGTAGTGCTCTGGTTTATACCCACATCTACCTTTCTCATCAGAAGGAAAGCTTTCACAGGGCAGGAACTGTGTTGGGCCTCCTGGTACCCAGCACAGGGTCTGGCACATGGAAATTCTCCGTTAATGGCCTGTCGGATTCTAGACTCTGAATTTCTAAATCACTCTTACTATATTACCTCTCATCTCCTAATGGCCCTCAAAGGCTATTCAAAAATATGTAGTTTTACTTTTGTTTTGAAAGTAAAAATTCCAACAGCGGTAGAGAACAGAGAGTAAGTCCGTCATGGGATAGCAAGGCGGGATTAGGCGGGGGTCTGTGGTAGGTGTAACCTGGTGGTGAGCGGTTTGCATGGTGGCCCAGACTTTTGGATGTGAAGAAGTCAAAAGCCACTTCAAAATATTCCATATCAACCTATATCGATTGGTATGAAACGTTGCCCACGGTATATTGGTGCCTGAAAAATAGTTACAGTGCAGACAGAATAATCCCATTTGTATCAAATGACCAGTTCTGACTCATTTTAAGTGGCAGAAAACCTAACTCAAACCATCTTAGACAAAAAATGAAACGTGTGGGCCCATCTTCAGTGAAGTCCAAGAGCATGCTCTGATGCCAAAGGGACTAACATTTTGGCCTGATGAGACAGATGGCTGCAAATGGCTGTCATCAGTGCCTGCGCCCCACCCCTTGCCCCCCGGACTGCATCCTCCCCTGGGGTTCCTTGCACAAGTCCTGAGATCCACTCTGATTGGACTAATTTGGGCCATATGCCCATCCCTGAACCAATCACTGAGGCCAGGGGGAGTCCATCTGATGAAGCCTTGGTTGGGGTGGAGTTGGGCTGCTGTGAACAAGAGGAAAAGGAATGGATACTGGTCATAATGGTCATAATGGCAACAAATCTCCACTGTGCGCATGTGTGGGTTATGCTTCTATCCACAGAAAAATGGCCAGGTGGCTGCCCACCAAAATGTCAACAGGGTTTTTCTCCAACTTTTAGGACTTGGGGCAGAGCCAGGCTCCTGTTTTTATAAAATCAGCCCCAAGCTTCACCCTGATTAGAATAGGGACCCCCACTGGAGCCTTGCCCTGGCCCACTAATGGCGTCTAAGATTTGCTGCGGGACCAGTTCTGGAAATACTGGAGACACTGCGTTCCCTAGGCCCACCTAGACTCCAGTTTCCCAGCCTCTGCTGGGGCCTGAATTAGAAGCTCGCCCTACACTCCAGGCTTCTGACCCTCCTGGTGAGGAGGGTGGCAGGACTGTGTGTGCATGCACCTGGCCTTGAGTATGGCCCTGACCCTGAGGAGGGCCTTCCAACCTGGATAACCCCTTGGGACTGGGATGCTACCACCTTCATGACTCCTAGCGTCTTTCTACCTGGCCACTCCCACCCCACCTGCCCAAGCCAAGCCTTGTGGGTACTAACCACACACATCCCTTTGGATATTGCCACTTCTCTAAAAGTCAGCCCCTCCCCAAGATCAGTTTCCCAACCCCCACCTCAATGCTCCCACACCAACCTCCCCAAAGCAGCAGCGGCCTCCCCACCACCACACACGAGACCACGGACAGGCAGTGTAGCTGAATGGCATTTTATTTCTAATTGGATCCACCAGCTTTGTCTGACTTAGCTCGCTTGCACCCTCTGCGCTGGTTCTTAGCCAGCTCTCGGAGAGTCTTCTTCCTGGCATGGCGCTGCGTGCGGTAGACTTTCAGCTCCTCGTGGTACTTAGCTCTCAGGAGAGCTGCTCTTTGTTCATACGGCTGCTTCTCGATGTCCGGTTTTGCAGACCACATCTTCCCAGAGGCCTTTGCCACCTGCACCACCGACCAGTTTGGGTTCTCCCTCTTCAGCTGGGCGTAGTGGTCTTGGCAGAAGAGTAGGAAGGACGATGGAGGCCGCTTAGGTGCCTGGGGGTCCCGCTTTCTCCGCTTCTTCCTCTTGCCAACGTAATTCATCATCTCTTCCTGGTACCGGGCTTTGTCGAGCTTGGCCAGGGCTTCATATTTGGCCTTTTCATGCTTTGAGATGGACCTCCATTTTTCCGAACACTTTCTAGAGAACTCTTGAAAGCCAAGGTAGGTATTTGGTTGCTGCTCCCTGAACTTGTTCCTGCAATTCAGTATAAAGTGGATGTAAGAAGAGACGTTCACCTTGGGCCTTAGCTGGATTTCTTTGGCCATGTTCATAAGGTCATTTTCTTTTTCTGTATTCAGTAATGTGGACAGCAGAGACTTTTGTCCCCACACTCCAGGAGCAATCTAGAAGGTGCTCTGCTTGCGATGAATTTTTCTCTCTGCAGGAGCTGCAGCCAAGGGGCGGCCTTTTCAGTGGTGGTGGTATTGTTGGGTCAGAAGAGGGGATGGTGACATCACTCCCAAACTGGCCACTCCCAGTGCCTGTGGCATTTGCATACAGGTACTCCCATTGGTTGGCTACTTGAGGGTCAGTTTTTGCTTCTCATGAAAGATAATGGTTCCTCTGGAGAAAGCTATGGACCAGCCATTCCTGCTGGAGTATATCTCCTTGGCTTCCTGGAGGCAGTGGGCCTCGCTCAGCTGTAGGAGCTTTTGACCCCTCAGATGCGGTAACAAATCACAAGGTCTGCCTTCCTGGCCATAAGCTTGTCAAGGCGCTGCATCACGCCTTCCGAAGGCAGCCTGGAAATAATGAACCGGAGGGGGTGGATGGCTCCAGAGCTGTCATGATAAAATGGGAAGGCTTTCTGTTTGCCCTGAACAGTGGCAGCTCCTACTGTACGAAGGGTTTAGTAGTAACTCTAAAAATAATCAGGTGTGACAGCTGTGACTCGGTTCCTGTCAGGACAAAGTTTGTCTAATTTAAAACCCGAGCACTTGGGCTGTAAGTCTTAAACTCTTTGTTTCTCTGAAGAAATTTGAGGGGGAGGGAGAGAAACAGGAGAAGGCTGAGATTTTACTAATGATGTTTGAGTCCAGGAAAAACGAGAGCAAACCCTTGGCATATCAGGAGGCCTCACCTCAGGGGTCCCCATTTCTTGGGGTTAGAGCACAAAGCTCTAACCGCTATGCTCACACTCGTTGGCTTCGGGCCCTTTGTAAAAGCAGTTGCAAATATCCCACCCGTCTTCCAGCTGAGGGGAAAGGAAACAGTGTCTTGGACCTGTGGACATCGTGAGACACTTGCTTATATGGTACTGCAGTTCATGCAGCCCAGTGGTTGATGGTCGCGCTCAATTTGCAGGACTAGAAAACTAAGCCCCATGAACATAAAAATTAACCTGTTTAAGGTAAAACAGCCACTGACAGGTGAGGGTCTGGATTTAGACCCATTTACCTGACTCGCACCTGTGCTTCCTCCCACCTGCACAGAACTGTTGCCTCGGGGAACAAGGGTCCGGGTATGTGGCCACAGCAGCTGAGCCTGACAAGGAAACTTGCCTAAGGCTAGACCACATTTAGAATGTTTGCCAAGTCCACTGCCAGGGCTCCAAGACTTCAGCCTCTATCTTGTTGTAAAAGAAAGGTGGAAATTGATGAGTCCTGAATTCTCTGCTGAGAGGTGGCTGAGCTACCTCAGCCAGCCCCTTTCTTCCTATTAGCCCATGATTTCTCTTCTGTAAAATCAATGTGTAGACTGGCGAGGAAAAAAAGCCCCTCCAGGTTACATGCTGCAGTTTTGTGGCTGGATTTGGGAGCCTGGGAGACACCAGATGTCCGCCAAGGACGTCTGGGCTAGTGGAGGCGGAAGAGGGGTCTGGCCAGTGGGAATGGATTGCTCCGGGGACATTTGTCAGCCCAGGTAGCTTTTCCCACTCCGATGCTTTCTCCCCAGGGGCCAGAGGTCGGCTCACCTGTTTGCTGGACTTGAACTGGGCTGCAAAGATAAATGGGACGGCGCTCCTGCCTGAGGTAGAAGGATGGGCCGTGAGGAAGAATTTGGCTCAAGTCTCTATATTAATCAGACCCTGCTCAGACTCACAACAAAACCCAGCAGCTTATCTCTGCTTCTGTCCATGACCTTTCACCCCTATCACAATGATAAGATCCAGGAAGATTAACCCCATGATAACCATCTGGAGCCCAGCAGATCTAGGAAGAGAAGGCAGTAAACGTGAAAGCTATGGCAGCCCCTTTGTTGTTCAGGCCACCCTCCCAACATGGAGGGATGAAGAGAAAGCAGGGGAATTCTTTGTCTGAGGAGCTACGGGGTGGGGGTGGGGGTGAATGAATGCACCTGGCTTTCTACATTAATGCTGTGTGTGCTAGGGTCTGAGGTGTGCCCCTTCAGATCCCTTTTCCAACCTCCTCTGCTGTTCTCTGCCCCTAAGCTGACCCATGTGGACCACATCAGTGGAGCCTATACCCTCTGACTTCCATTTCAGTTTGGCCAGTGGGGACCCCAACAGGAGATGAAGGAGGGAGGAAGGTGAGGCCAAGGCATTTATTCTCCTGGCTCCCTCCCTGTGGGGTCGCCTGGGGCTGTCTCTCCATCCCTGGACTGAAAGTCTCAGCTTCCTCTTAAAGTATCCTCTCTAAATGACTGAGTCCTTTCAAGTTCAGGGGTTGCTCCCTCTCCTCGCACCCTCCTAGGAAAAGCCCTGCTTTTACCGGCCTCCGAGGACTCTGCGGTCTCTCGTGGCTTTTCCACACCTTGCCCGTCCCTCTGTAAATACCTCTTTATTAAACACTCGGACTTATTCTAATTTGAGTGCCATCTGTTTCCTGCCGGGACCCTGACCAATGCACCGTTTCTAGCCTATGAACAGCCGTGGAGATGGATAAATAAACCGTGAGCATCAGTCCAAGGTAGGAAGGTATTGAACTGGATACGCAAGAGCTAGGCAGTCACACAGCCAGGAGTGGGCAGCAGGGCAAGAGTGCCTCCCAGGACAAGGGCAGGACAGGGCCGCAGGGCCCAGGAGGAGTGTCTCATAGGCTTTGTATTATGAGCTGGGACATTGGTCAGAGGGCCAGATAGTAAATACATTAGCCTTTAGGGGCCACACAGTTTCAGTTGCAAGTACTCAACTCTGCGGTTGTAGCTCAAAAGTACCCATAGATAGTATGTAACAAATGAGTGAAGCAGTGTCCCAGTAAAACTTGGCAAAAACGTACCGTGGGCTGGAGGTCATAAATCTGCCACCCCCGGTCTAAGAGGAGAACTCAGTATTTTCAAATTTTCTGATCACAGTTTACAATAGGAAATACATTTTACATCATGACCCGTTTGTGCAGGGGCGTACTTCATAACAATATTTTAAAAATGCTTAACGTGCCAGCCTCTGTTCTAAGCACTTTAGCTGTATCAATTTATTTAGCCTTCATAAAAGCCCTGTGTGAGGTGGGTGGGCTGGGGTGCTATTTTTCTTGCCAAGATAAAGATCTCCAAGCACAGAGAATTTACAGGAAAAAAAAGTTTTATGAAACCTACATTTCTTTTCTATTCTATTCTGTTACAGTCTCCTCTACTTTATTTTGTTATTTAAAATGCAACCCACAGGCTGATCTCATGACCCGCTGATGGGTCACAATCTATGGATTAATTTGAAAACCACCGTCTAGGCAGCTGGGAGGGAGCTCCTCTTTACTTGGTGTTAAAATGACATGAAAATCGGAACATGGACTTAGCAGCCAGACAGACATAAGTTCAAATTCTGGCTTCACCACTTACTAGCTGGGTAACATTGGGCAAGTCCATCTTACGGTCTTATCTGTACAAAGCAGTGGAGTGATACTAGAATGGTGAGGATCAACTAACTAACTGAGGTGATGGGAAGCAAAGCCCCTGGCACGCCCTGTCCCCTACAGTGTGGGCTGGACTTGGGGACTCACTTCTAGTGAACAGAGTATGGGAAAGGACAAATTGTATTCCACAGTGGAGAAAGCTGGCCGATCCGCCTTAACCAAGCAATCAAAGTGAGCATCAATAATGGGCCGTATTGATATCCCATTCCTTCTCTATAATATGATTAATGAGAGCATGTCACCTCTGCAGCATTCTTCCCCCAAATCTATAACCATATCCAAATCCATATGAGACAAACCCAAATGAAGGGGCATTTAATAAAATACTTGACCAGTATTCTTTAAAAGTGTCAAGGTCTTGCGAAAACAAGGAAAGCCTGAAAAATGGACACAGGTGGGAGGAGACCAAGTAGACATGATGACTGAAGGCAATGAGAAGCATTGGACTGGATCCTGGACAAAAAAAAAAAAGCAGGGCGGGGGGCGAGGGCCTCAGTGGAAGAACTGGGGGTATCTGAGTAAAGTCTTCCGTTGAGCCAACAGTATTGTACCAATGTGGATTTTTAGTTCTGATACATGTCCCGTAGTTATGTAAGATGCTAATATTAGGGGGAGCTGGGTGAGAGGTATACAGGAAATTTCCTTAGTATCTTTGCAACTCTCTTCTCATTTCAAAATAAAAAAAAATCTTCCCAGCTGACAGTGCTGTGCGCCCAGGGTTCAGACCGCCTGCACTTGATCCTTCTCCTTCAGGACTCACGGGGCAGAAACCCTCAACTGCAGCAACATAGGCTCCTGGCACATCTTCTGTCACAGGGTTTCTCAAATCTGGGGGCATGCTGCAACTGCCTGAGGAGCTTTTAAAAATCCCAGTGCTCAGGCCACAGCAACACAAGAGCAGAAGGACCTGGCACAGGCATGTGATAAATGCTTTGATGCTTCCTCACGCTCCCTCCTATGGGATGGAAATCAGTGGCTACACTTGCCCTCTGAGCCAGGCATCTGTGGTGGGGAGAATAATGGCTCCACCAAGATGTCCACACACTGCACCCGGAAGCCCGTGAACATGTTACCGTACACAGCAAGAGGAACTTTGCAGATGTGATTACATTAAGAATTGTGAGATGGGAAGATTATCCTGGATTACCCAGGTGGGCCTGATGGAATCACATGGGTCCTTACAAGAGGAAGGCAGGAGGGTCAGAATTAGAGATGACAATGTGATGACAGATGCAGAGGGTCAGAGGCAGAGAGAGATCGGAAGGTGTTACACTGCTGGCTTTGAGGATGAAAGGACCACAAGCCAAGAAAGCTGGCTGCCACAGAGAAGCTGGGAAAGGCAAACAAATGAATTTTCCCCTAGAGCCTCCAGAGGGGAAGCAACCCTGCCGAGGACACCTTGACCTCGGTCCACTGTTACCCATTTTGGACTTCTGACCTCCAGAATTGTACGATAA